AAAAAAAAAAAAAAAACTAAAAAGCTAAGATGTTTAGATCTAAACAAAATTTAAAAGATTAGATTTATTGTTACCCTAAGAATAAATAATACAGAATTATTTCCCTAAAAGAGAGAGAGTGAAAGTCAATAAATTTCCCAGTTTCTACTAAGAGCCATTCCAACTTCAGTTTATTTGGAAGTAAAAGAATATGAAGAAGTTTTAAACACAACAAAAAATTAAAAAATATAAATATTTCCTTCATGTTAATTTATTATGTTTTATTACTTATCCTGTATCTATTTCTCAACTAGTTTCTAAGACTATTTTAATTTGAGATTGGTCCCAAATAAATCCCAATACCAATTCAACATAAGAAAATAAAAGTAAACTAATAAAGAGGCAGGCTCCCACAAATTATATGATACTAACAATACTAGCAAGCATAAAATTTACTCCTACTAAAAGAAGGTTAAAATGGTAAGTATAGAAAGGGAAAGAGAAGAAAAGAAAAAGTTTAAAAAGGAAAGTTTTAAGTTAACTCATCAGGAGTTGAACAAAGAAGAACTCAGCATAGCTCAAGATACAAAGGACATAATAACATGATAGGTATACTAAAGCAGTTTCTTTTTTTTTTATATCTTTATTTATTTGATACAGGGTCTCACTATGCAGCTCAGACTAGTGATCCTCCTGTCTCACCCTTCCCAGTACTAGGATTATAGGTGTGTGCCACCATGCACAGTTCCACGGTCAGCATGGCATGGGGTACCCATGTAGTACCAGAAATCAAATCCAGGTCTCTGCACTTGCCAAGCAGGTGCTTAGACCACCAAGCTATCTCGCCAGCTGAGAGCAGTTTCTTCTAATGACTATTACTATATCTGCATACTATAAAAGGTAAATCATTGTGTTTCTATGTAGATATTTGTATGAAAAGCCTAAGATTATTTTTATTAATATGAAATTATTCAAAGATAGCACAGTATTTAGAAAAATGAAGCACTAACAGTAATTTTTTATTTGCACATCTGCTCTCACCTAATTAGTGCAACTCCCACGGTCTACCTTACCACAAGTTCAAAAGATTCTGTAATATTCTAACATTTTATAGATAATTTAGGATCTACATACTATCTTATCACTATAACTCTTTCACATTGCTTTTGAGCCAAAATATTATCCAGGGCAATCATTCACCTTATTCATTAAAGTTAATTCTGAATGCCACTGATCACTTCAGAAAAATAAATCTATCCTTCTCCTCTCTTTCCTTCTACCACTGCACAGTACAGGGTGTCAGAATCCATCAGCCTGGCGTAAAAAAAGAACTCATGTGGAGAAAGATTGCAAGAAACTGTCTACATACATGGAAATCATCAAAAGTTTCATATATACAAGAAATGAAAATTATGAGTTATAATTTTGGCCCTAGCTTTCCAAGGCCAATTAAGACTCAGGACATATGTAACATCATGTCACTCAGTAGTGGCCCAAATTTTCTGATCAAGGAGATTATGGGGCCAAAGAGGAAAGTGATCGATGATGTAGAGTGTGCCTAAGGAGAGTCACATGGAGAGAAAACATTCTCTCAGGCTTTCACAGAGAGCACATTGGCCAAGCAATGGCCGTGACTCATCCACATGGCTGATACTAAGGTTCTACAATCAGAGGTACAGGATCTCAGGATAAATCCTGAGGGGATTTCACTGACCTTATCAGCCCCAAAAGCTACAACTCTTGTTGCATAGGTCCTGCTTTATCTTGGTCTTAACCATCCAGCAGAAAAGTATAAAAACAAAATATAAGAAGTAAAGCCATGCTGTTATGTTGAGCTGTAGGGGACTCAGGTCAGCAATTTCTGACACTGCCAGTCAAGCAGAAGACCCAATACTATTATGGATTACTGAATTCTTTTAGAATATTTTGCTGAGTTAACACACCTATAATATTCAAATAACAGAACTAAACAAAAAAGGGGATATAGATGAATGTCCATTTTGTATCTGTGTATTCAAAATGGTTAGGATAGATATATAGTTACAGTCTCTTAATGAATAGAGTGATTTGTTTTAATGGTGTTTATAAATAGGATATCATGTCTGCATCTTGTACAGCAAATAACCACGAGAAAGAGAGCATGCAATGTGTTAATTATTGAAACTGTCCTACCAATTTGATTTGAAACTGTCTCATTGCTATTTGTCTCTCAATAAAATTACGGGAAAAAAAAAATCATGAGTTATAAACATGAAGGAAAACAAAAATGACTCCTATGGTATCATATTGGAATTATAAGTATTAGAACAAACTAAAAATTTTCAAAATACACAGACATGGAAATAAATTTATCAGTCCTCCACCTCTAATATATACAGAGACTTACAAAGACACACACTCACTTGTAACCCCCGCTCTATCCACTAAGGACCTGAAAATGGCCGTTCCCCATTAGAATAAGCATGTGGTCTGTGGTTTCTAAATGCTGTTTTGTACCAAAAGTAACCAGGACTTTGAAGAAATCCTAATTTTAAGTACAAGATTAGCCTGGCAGATCTAATTTCCCTAGAAAATAGTAACATGATCAAAGCATTAGGGAAAAGAACACAAAGACCAGCTTGAAGGAATTCTTACTGTAACCCAGAAGTACAAAATAATTTGAACATCAAAATGAAATAATGAGGGACAACCAAACAGCTCAGGGAACTAAAGCACCTGCTTCAGCAGAGCCCAGTAGTCCAGGTTCGAACCCAGGCATGCCATGCCAGTCCCACCCATAGGGCACACTGAGGCGGCTAGTAAGACTGGGCATGGTGGGGTGGGCCTGTAATCCCAGTGCTTGAGAGGCTGAAAACAGAGGAGAATCACTACAAGTCCGATCTGTGTAGTGAGACCCTGTACCCTGTAGACCCTGCACTAAATACATTTAGAAAAAAAAAAAAAAAATTGATGAGTGGAAATCAGTGGTGCAGATTCCTTAAAAAACTAGGATTAGAGGTTCCATTCAACCAACCCAGCTATTCCTCTCCTGGATATTTTCCCAGAAGAAATGAAAACAACATACCAAAACAATTATGTCTGCACCCATGTTTATAGCAGCACAATTGGTAATAGCTAAATCTTGGAAACAACCCAAATGTCCATCAACTGAGGAATGGATAAAAAAATGTATTTTTATACAATGAAGCACTACTCAACTATAAAAAAAGGCAAACAAGACTTTTATAGGTAAAAGGATGCAATTCAAGACTATACTCATTAGTATAATAAATCAGAATCGCATGTGAAAACATAGTATTGTCTCCCTAGTGTAAGAAACTGAAAGAGAATAAGATCAAAATGGTACAACAAGGACCAGCCAAATAGCTCAGCGGATTAAAGCGCCTGCAAGCAGGCTCAGGAACCAGGGGTTCAATCCTTGGGCCTGCCTTTCTGTGCTGTGCTGATCCTGCCCCTCAGATGCACTGAGACAGCAATGGGCGTGGTGGCATGTACCTGTAATCCCAGCTCTTGGGAGGCTGTAAACAGGTGGATCACTATGAGTCCGATCTAGTAGTGAGACCCTGAACACCCTGTATACTCTTCCCTAAAAATAAAAATTAAAAAAATAAACAGTGCAACAGATATTAGTGAAAGGGAAAGAAACTGCTCAAAAGAAAAGAACAATGGAGAAGTGGGAAAAGATACGAGGAAGGGGAAAAGGAAATATGTATACACACACAAGATAGTAAAGATAATTGTATTACTAATTTAATTAGTTCATTAAAAGGAACAGTTAGTGTCTATATGTTATGATCAATTTTGCATGCCTGTACCTGGTAATCTGAGCAACTATTTTGAAGATAACAGTATGCAATATAATAACCATTGTTAATTTCCTGTCATCTTGTTTTGAAAGTGTAGTTTTTATTTTTTTGTCTCTTGAAAAAAATAAGTCAATATAAATGATACTCCAAGAGAAAACAAATGAATAATGAGCATGTCTGATAATAATCCACAAGATAAAATAGGAACTCATGAGTTTATACTGAAAATAGGTAAGAAATGAAATATTATCATATGTCAAAGTATCTCTCCACAAATTACTTATTAATCACAAAGGGGGGAAAAAGTAACAACCTTGAAAAATGTGGGACATACCTGTTTAATTAAGTGATCAAATTTAAGCCCCAATACTATTATGGACTACTGGACTCTTTTAGAATATTTTGCTGAGTTAACACATCTATAATATTCAAATAACAGAACTAAACAAAAAAGAGGATACAGATGAATGTCCCTTTTATATCTGTGTATTCAAAAATTATTAGGACAGATATATAGTTACATTCCCTTAATGAATAGAGGGATTTGTTCTAATAGTGTTTGTAAATAGGATATCATGTCTGCATCTTGTACAGCAAATAACCACTAGGAAGAATGTATGCAATGTGTTAATTTTTGAAACTGTCCTACCAATTTGGTTTGAAACTGTCTCAATGCTATTTGTTTCTCAATAAAATTATGGAGAAAAAAGAAAACTTAAAAACAAAAAAGGAAGAAAAAAAAAAACAAATTTAGCAACCATGGGCTAGCCAGATAGCTCAGCGGACTAAAATGCCTGCTTCGGAAGAGCACAGCAGCCAGGGTTCGATCCCGGCATGCCATGCTGGACTACCCACAGGGCATGCTGAGACTGCAATTGAGACTGGGTGTGGTGGCGCATGCCTGTAATCCCAGCACTTGGGAGGCTGAAAATAGGAGAATCACTATATAGTGAGACCCTGTAAACCCTATCCTAAATACAGAAAAAAGAAAATAAATTTAGCCACTAGTAATGAAACAAATTGAAATTATGTGACACCTGATCAGAAGCAATGAAAACACACCATTGACATTCCTGTCAAAGATGTATAACTGGAAGCTAAATAGGTAAGTCCTAATTGATAAACATTGTATAATGCTATTACACTGTAATCATCAGCAATGCCAAGTTACAAAAATAAAAACTGAAGGAAATGGGGTTTATATTGCAGGAGACAAAAAGACAAATGTAATAACTATGAACCAGGATAAGCAAGCTTTTAAACCCAGGCAAGGCTATTCCTTTACTAAAATTACTAAAAAGTGTAAATAAAGACCATTAACACAAGACAAAAACAAGCTCTAATAAATTCAGTGCACCGAGAAATTTTCCACTATTATCCTAAAAACGAAGACATTGAAAGATGCCTATTACTATAACAGGTTAGGTTTCCAGGTGGTAATGTTTTCAACTGAGTTAATTCATCATGAAAGGGATACCAACTTTGCCTATAGCTGGAATACTTGGAAATGGATCATCATTAAGTGTTTATGAACTGTTCTGCCTTATTATGAAACTGAACCTAGCATAGAGAATGCACAAATGAAAACCACATTTTAATTCTTACCTGTGTACTAGAGAATTAGTTTCAAACACTTGTCAATATCATAACTGTTCAAACAAAACAAAATCTATCACAAGAGAAGTGTAAAATTTTACAATATTATCAAAGAGCATTCAGGCCTTTATTTTTAAAAATCAATACTATGTCCTCCAGTATAGATCTGTTATTAGTAATAATTTTAAAATAACCTTAACAAACTTTTATTCACCTATCTTCCATATTTTTTAAAAAGACACTATAATATAATCCGAAGGAAACACCACTAAATTAGAAAAGGTTAACAAAAATTAAAATCTTACTTTGTATTCATTCAATATTTTTATCAGAAATAATAATAATAATTAATAAATTCTAGATGGTCATTAAATTAAAAGTAATAAGCCATCTAAGTCATGGGTCATTTCTCTTTAGCTTCTATTTATAAAGTATAATACTATGAGTTTGGAATAGAAATGTTCCTAAAATTAATTTTTTTAAAAAAAGAAATATTCCTAAATCCTTAACCTACATAGGCTTTATTTTTTTTCCATTTATGTATTTGGTACAGAGTCTCACTAAGCAGCTCAGACTCGGAGTGATCCTCCTGTGTTCAGCCTCCCCAGTGATTAGATTACAGGCATGTGCCAACTCACCCAGACAAGATCACTGAGGGCAGGGCCAATATAGCATGTGGGGTTGGGGATCGAACCCTGGTCACTGCGCTGAGCTATCTCGCCAGCCCTACATAGGATCTTATGTTCAGCTTTAATTTGAATTTTCTGTAACAAGCTTTTTATTACACCAGGGATGACTTTTAGTTACTAGGTAAGTAACTAAAATTGCTCTTAATACTGTTACCAAAGGATGGCTTCCTAGCCAGCAAATTAAACGGGATTGTAGATATTATCTGAATTCTTAAGATACTAAACAATCTTAGCAATTCTTCCAGCTGAAGTATCTCCCTCTTGGGCCTTCTCTAATGCCACTCATTGCAGCTTCCTTCCCAAACACTCCTTCAGTCAACTCTGTAGGTACCAATTCTGCAATCATTTCCATTAGTTTTTCCTCAAGTTCTACAGTCGCTCCTTTTATCTACCTACTAGGCATGCTTTCCCATATACAAGGCTTCCACTATTTCCTTGAAGAAAAACTATGTAGCTCAAAGAATTCTCCCCTAAGACACAAACCCTCTAAGACATCTTCACTTGAATGCCCTCCTGAAACTCACCCTTGGCCAGAATTGAGCATATCAACTTTACTGCTAAACCGTAGCCCCTTCCCAAAACTCCTGATCTTGGCAAACAGGAATAGAATTCAAATGGAACTGTAAGAACAATTTATGGCTTCTTCCTTAGCTCCCACTGTCACATTGATCATTAAGTGTGACAATCTGTTCCTGCTAAATATCTCATATATACCTTCTCCTTTCTTTATCATCTTAGTCCCTTCACCACAGCTGCCCACCTGGATTTCAAATTGCCTCATCTCCCAGTTGCCAGTCTTACCCCACTCTAAACTATTTGCATGTGATTTCACCACATATTAACCCCCTTCTCAAAATCCTTTGATGGTTTCCCTGTAACCATCTACATTAAGCGCCAGCTGTAGGATATCTGGTTACTTTCTCACCCTTATGTCCCACTACTCCCAATAACACCCCATGCATGAAACTTAATATTTATTACACTAGCAATTATCTGTTTACTGGTCTATCTCCTCACTACAGTATCAATTTCTCAAGGTCAGAAAGTCCAGCACAAGACACAGCTTTATATTCTACAGCCCAAAATCAACCTAATTAATGCTCAAAAGGGGACAGGGCGGTTTTAGTACAAAAATCCATGTTGTTTTCTGTCATTCAATTCATAACTGCCTATAGTTTTAAAAGTAACTACAAAGATCAAATTACTCACAACAGTACAGACAGCAATCTTTCAACAATTTTTTTTAGCAGCAAAAAGAAAGAACTTAACAAAAGTCTAGCGTTCTTCACATAATAACTAAGATAATCCTTTCCAGCTCTCTATAAGGGGGAAGTATGTACTTTAACAATATAACTGTTGCTTGCATAGACAATTTTGTTTTAAAAAAATTTTAGACAAATCAGTGGAATGTTATTTATAACCTCAGAGAAATGAGCAGTAACAATCTTGAATTTTATCTCAAGATAGATTGATTGATTGATTGATTTTCATACAGAGTCTAGAGGGTCTCACTGCATAGAACGGACTCACAGTGATCCTGTTTTCAGCTTCCCAAGCGCTGGGATTATGGGTACACACCACCATGCCCAGTCTTAGTCACTATCTCAGTGTGCCCCAGGGACAGGGTCAGCATGGCACGTCAGGAATCGAACCCCAGTCCCTGCGTTCTGCCTAAGCAGATGCTTTTGTCCAGTGAACTATCTAGCCAGCCCTAAGAAAAATATTTTTAATGTCCTGGTCTTTTAGCTTTATGTGAATTCATCAGAAAACACCCATCCTTGTGTTCACTTGTTCACCTGTGCTGCTAGCACTGTCTGTCTGTCTCTCTCTCTCTCTCTCTTTCTCTCTCTCTCTCTCTACACACACACCCCTTCCTGACCACTCAGGATTCACATTGCTGTGTTTAAGACAGCTGGGTAGGCAATAGAGACAAAGTCATCAGGAAATAGCTGGTGAGCGCACACAGTAATACAATTCTAATATAAACTTTAGCAAACAACATGTGCTAGGAACCACACCATGTTCCTAGCCTGTAATCCACAAATCATACTTTTAAACAACATTCCAAGAAAGAAAATCAAAGACGGTGTGGTCATAAGTATTATGATTTTTTTTTTTTGGGGGGGGGGGTCTGGTAGAACCAGGGATTGAACTCAGGCCCTTGCGCTTGCCAGGGAAGCACTTATTCTACTAAGCCATCTCCCTGGCCCCAGTATTATGACTTAATAACAACAAGTCCAAAAGCTAGAGTCATAAGTTACAAAACCTTTTTAAAAAATTAACAATTATGTATTGGTAAAGATTAAAGAACCAAAAGGAATTAAAATAATTGGATTTAAGAAATACTTGAAATACTTTTTCTATTCTCATGTAAATTTGAATAGATGGTGTTTGAAAATAGCCAAGAGAAATACTGGATCCCTATAGCAACAATAATAATAGCAATTTTTTTCAAAAAAGCCTACAAATTTAAAGTAGTGATTTAATTTTGGGGTCAGAAATTCTCATCCTTATTCCCATGGAACTCAGCATACTGTGTACATAAGTGTCGACCATTTTCAATTCCATTTTCTCTTGTAAACTAATCAGCTATGACTGTAACCAAAAAGGAGAAAACTAAATCAATTTTCAATTGTAACATACATACTTAAAACATTAAAAATAGAATCACCTTTCTTCTTTGTCCAGAGTTTTTTTCTCTGCTGCAGTGATTTTTTTGGGTGGTACAGGCGGGGTCACTTTTCTGCATATCTCTTCAATGATGCGTTTGTTCATTCTGCTTTGCAATGCAGCTTTCAGTAAAATTCTTTCTACTGCAGTTATACCATCTCCATGACTGTATTTAGGAATTTCTGGTTGAATTAAAACTTCAATGTCATCAAGCCATGGAGGATAATAGGAGTTTTGTTTTCCTGAGAGTTTGTGGTGAAGTTTAATAAGCAAAGACAATATACTTTCTTTAATTTCCAAAATGGCTGTTGTTAACTGGGGAGCTGAACCAGGAACAGACCATTTACTTGAAGTTTTGGGACGAACCACCTGATTTGCTTCACTGGTACTGCGATTGATGATCTCCTGAAATTTCTTTCTGCGCTCTGCTACTAAGCTGAAAACTTGAGCTGTGCCAGAATTCTACCAGTACAGATAAGAAAAAAATCAAGAGAAGTTACTCAATATAAGTGCTAAAAATACATTACTACATTTCCAAATGTAATGCTTAAAGTGTCATCCAAAGATTTGTTCAATAGTTTGGCTCTTAAAACCTATCTCTTCACTTCTCTTTCTCAAATAGATTTAGTCCCACTCAATCTGGAAATAGCAATAAGAAAAAAGATTATCAGCAATAACCTCAGTGTATCTATAAAGAAAAATAAAACTTGAGCAATATCTATAGTCATGCTGAAGAGAAATAACGAACTAAATTTCTCCAATCTAAAGGAATAAAAGCTCTTCTATTTACCATTTATGAGGAAAGCTAAATATACTTGTCACTAATTTCAGAAAGATTGCTATAGTTTCCAGTTAAGAAAATTACATTAATTTTTTTTTATTTTCTAAGTTAATGAATCTGAATTAGTAATTAATTTCACTTTTAAGAAACTTCAAAGTTTGAAAATTACTTCTCACAAATGCTTAGTTATTGCACTGAAATATAAGTATGAAACATCAAATTGATTTGTTTTACATTTGAGTATCACTGTGATTTGTTAAAAAGATTTTTAAACTGTTTTCCTCATTTATCTTCTAAATAGCCATTTTGCTAAAGCAGTCAAACTGCATTAGAACTCTCACAAATCATCTTTTAATTAAGACATGAGTCAGCTTAATGGATTTCATTAGTTTTTAAAGGGAACACAAAAAGAACGCCCTAAATTAGAGTGTGCTTTATTTTTTAACATCCAAGCTCTTTTTTTCAAAGTACTACCTTTGACACAGGCAAAAATTGCTTTTCACAGAGATTCCAACATTTAAATTAAAATCCCTTATGATGGTCAGAGCAAAAGCATGTTAAAAACTAGTTTTTACCAACAGACTATGAAAAATGCCTAATTCAATACTCACCAAAAAAACCCAGTTTGTAGAAACTAAGAAAGCTTAAGTTTAGTGAGTTGACATGTCATTTCAAACTTTTCATTTCTGCTTTAATTAAAATTAATGAAGCTACATGCAGTGAACACTGTTTTTCAAAGTGAGTCCAAATACTGAACATGTAGACTTTTTTCTGGAATTATCTTGTCAAAATAAATCAATTGTCATAGAAGCAAAAACAAAAAATTAAATGGACGTGCTGCCAGCAATTAAATTTGTTTTTATTTTAAAAATAGGAGTCAGTTTTAAGATGTTAGTAATTGCTGCAAAGTTAAATGTAAGAAGGTTAAACATAAATTGGTCCAAATGTGCTACTATAACTGGTCCAAAAATATTCCTAACACTAATAAAAATACACTATTAACTACTCAGTATTATCTTTAAGAATAATAATCATACAAATCTTCTTTAAAATGAAGACTAAGTAGCTTTATTTAAAAAGACACATAAATTAAAGAAACTTTTTGTGGGCCAGAGCACTGAACACAGAACCCAGGACCCCACGGTGGTAAGTACTGCACCACTAAGCCTCATGAATTTTTTCTTTTTAATTTGGCCATATTAATTGAACACACATAACACACACAGACACACACAAACACTTCAGTGTGGTTCTTTTCTTTCCCACTTCCAGTTAAAGCCATGTTGCTAGTTAATGCAAACATCACAGACATCTACCTCTCTTTGAAGAACTTTAGGTGGTCGTGAACGCTGGCAGGTTAAAGGAAAAAGACTGGTGAGGCAAAGTTGTTTAAATTCATCAAAGGAAATAAAAGAAAATTTAAAGTTATCTATAACCACATTCTTTTTGCTTCTGGATATCACAATGTGATCCAAACAATATCTCCCAACATTTCAAGATAAAGTGTTTCCCTTTTACTTTCACACTTACTTGTAATGAGCCCAAACTATCAGAGCTTGTACTTGCAGGTGGGTCTCTCTTCACTTCAGGAGCAGTCTCTGGAACTCTCACTCTGACATAGTTTATAAAGTGCCGCATATTTGATACTAAGTTACTCCCAGGAAACCAACTGTCATGACAACGTTCTGGTCCAGCCACTGATACCTTAAGCAAAAATAACCAATATGAAAGCTTGTCACTTTGGTTGTAAAGTACAATGGAGATGTAACAAGTCCAAATATTCATCTACTGCCTGTCATGCTCCTAAACTCCTTTACAGTCTCATCCACAAATTATAAACTTAATAAATATAAATAAAACCAAGGGCTAGTCAAATAGCTCAGCGGATTAAAGTGCCTGCTTAGGCAGACCTAGATGCCAGGAATTTGATCCCCAGGCCTGCAGTACCAGCCCCACCTCCAGGGTGCACTGAGGCAGCGACTGAGACTGGGGGTGGTGGCTCGCACCTGTAATCCCAGTACTTGGGAGGCTGTAAACAGGAGGATCACTATGAGTCTGATCTACACAGTGAGACCCTATACACCCTGTCCTAAAATAAAAAATGAACAAATAAAAGCAAATTGAATAATAAATATAATAATAAATTTCCCAATAGTAATATGGCTAAGTCCAGTAAAATTATCAAATAAAACATACATTTTTCAATCTGGAAATACTTAACACTATAGAGTACTTCCTTCCCTCCCTAATCTCCCAGTACTGGGGACTCAACCAAGGGCCTTCACATTGAGCTACATCCCCAATCCACTTCATCTTTTAGGGCAGGGTCTCACCAACTTCCATGTTGCCAAGGTTGGGCTCAAACTTGTAATCTTTATGCCTTAGAATATTTCTCATCACCCATTAGTAATAATGCATAATATAATCAAATTAGTAATAATGCATAATATAGTCAAGTAATGGTAGTTTGGATTAAATATGAAAGAAAGTATAAAAAAAAAAAATCAGCCAAAAGTATGGCTTAGTCCTAAAGGAATCTTAATGACCTTTTAACACATTCACAATGGGGCTATAATTCATATGTTTCACTGCTAGGCAGCTTAAACTACCATACATGTGTGATTTGAACCACCAGAAAATGTATGACTGTCCCATTTGGTGGTTTGTACCACCATGGATACAAACAGATATAATCACTTTTATCAATCTTTACACTAATAAAATTAATAAAAAGCCATCCAATGGGACAGTCATTTATGCATCACCAGTGGTTCAAGCTGGCAGGAACATGTTAATATATATTAAAAAAAAAAAAAAAGAGAATACACACTGATGCAACTTAGAATACAAACTAGTACTTAGGGTTTTGTTTTTGTCTTTACTTTAGCTGTTATTATGCTGTGTTATGTCTGTCTTTCTGGGCAGGAAATGAAAAAAATCTTACATTAATAAAATTCTTAAAATTATTTTTAGTCACAATTGCTTTTCTGGAAATAATAGTTCCCTTCTGAAGGCCTGAAACACTTTAACAACTTGTATTCTTCACTACTTTAAACCTTTTCTCATTTATTTATTTCATTATCTTAAAATCTGTAAAGAATGTGCTACTAAACAATAATTCCTAATCAAATTATTAGAATTAATCAATGTTTGAACCATAACACTGAAATGCAAAAACTATTTTTCTTAGGTTAATTTTTGTGATACGAACAATAAATCTCAAATTCAAAAATTCTGTAAGTAAAATAATTTCACATCAAGGCCAATTCTAAAAGAGCTATACACATTTGGAGACCAACAGGGTCTTTTCTAGTACCAGTAGTTCTTTAGAAGATCTTACATGAGTATGAATAATTCCTAAGTATACTCTATTTTTGCATTAGCCTATTAACAATTGCCTACAGTCAGATGGGGGTAGCCTCCTGTCTAGAAATTTTAACGTACAAAAAACAACTTACCTCTTCATCTGATTCATCCTCAGCAGAATTTTCAAGTCCTAATTCAATCAGATACAAGACCATGCAGAGTACATGTTCTGACAGATTTTGATGATCCATCAAAATCTTTAAAAAGGGAAGAAAATAACTCATAATTCTTTTTTCTACATAATATAAAGAACCAAAACCATTTTAACATAGGGGAAAATAATCAAATATGATTGATTATATTTGATAAAAATCAATATATAAATGAAGTTACATTTTGATAAAAGAACTCAAACCAAAAAAAAGTTTTATTATAGACTACATAGCACTATAAGCACTATCTAGAAACCATTCGAAAATTTCCTAACAGAAAATTAAACAGCCCATTAAAATTATTAACATTAATATCCCAGTATTTCATTTTTAAAAAAGATCTGAGACAGAGTCTCATTGTGTTCCCACTCTGGTCTCAAACTTGTGGGCTCACAGAATCCTCCTACTTCTCTGGCACTACAGGTGTACACCACCACACCAATCTTAATAAATATAATAATACCTTACTTCCTAATTTGTTAATACTCTTGTCCTAAAGACAAGTATATCAGATAAGTAAGCTTATCAGATAGGATAATTTATGCAAATGTAAATATGCTTAACATAACACCTCACAGATAACTGGTAACATGATAAACATTTATAAAATATCAATGTTCTTCTAATTTGTCTTTAAGATTCTGAGCCTGAGTATTGTGTCCACCTATATAAATGTGTATGTCAAAAGAAAGGATAAAAGAGTGATCAGTCCAAAAGGTTCTCTGAGGATAATATGATAAATTTGACCTTATACATCACACAAGGCAAAACTTATCCATCTGAAGTAGAATTCCAGGCCTACCTAATCACTCAGTGTGATAAAAACTGACCACTAATAAACATATATTTAAAAGACTAAGGAAAAAATGGCCTGATGACTGTCATCTTGTCTTCATTCTGAAGATGCCACGCAGGAATATAGCACAGTATTGCCAAGACCTGAGTTCAACTCCCCATACCAAAAAAAAAAAAAGTATGTTTCCAAACAGAAGGGACAAAGGAAGAGGTTCTGCAGGGAGTGGCAAATGCAGGCTAGAGTGAGCCTTTTACAGCTTTCAATAACAATCAGCCCACTGTGGCTATAGGCTCGCTAACAATGGCTAAACCTCAAAGAAACTGCCCCAATGGCTGAGAGACTTAGGAAACTACTTGATCTAACCCACTGTAAATAAAAATATTTACATTTGCTTGACTTTCTAATGCTTACTTTCACCTCTAAGAGGGTCTTTCCATTTATTTCTTGTGTGGCATACTGGTAAAGAACACAGGCTTTCAAACCCTTTTAAAACATGATTTTCAATATAGTCTGTCACTGCCTAATTTACCTATGAGAACATAGTTTTCTCATCTCTAAACCTAGAAAATAGTCCAGAATTGTCAGGACAATTAAATGAGTTAACATATGTCATTTACCTAATAGAGTTCCTAACAACTGATGCTCAACAACAGAAGGTTTAGTGATGTCAGTGGTACAAAGAACAGGAGTTACAGAAAAAGGGAAGTAGAGGCCAGGAGCCAATACACGTTGTCCTTTCTAATCTACCTCATTACACAGGAAACCAAGCCACAGTCACATTCTTTGTTAGTAATACTAACAAAGATTTCAGATTCTAAAGCCATTGCCTATCATTCCCATCTTTTCTCAATAAATAAAGTGTTTTTAGCTACATTCCAAAAAAATTTTAGGAGGCCAGGGAGATAGCTAAGTAGAGTAAGAGCAGGGTCCTGAGTTCAATCCCCAGTACTGGGGGGAAAAAAAAAAAAAATTTAGGGCCAGGGAGATGACTCAGTAGAATAAGCGCTTCCCTGGCAAGTGCAAGGGTCTGTGTTCAATCCCTGGTTCCACCAAAACAAAAACAAAAACAAAAAAAAATTATTTGAAATCCTATGATATCACAAATGATGTCATTATTTTAACTCAGTGATTTAACAGGTTTAGGGGGATCCCTTTACTGGGTATTGTAAAAGTAAAAATAATTTTTCTGGAGATTTCTAGGTTAGCATGTTCTTAATGTAAACATGGCAGGCAATAAATTAGACTTCTGACCACTGATTCTTAGAAAAGACTTGCCAATGCAATAGCAATTAGAGAAGTTTTTATTGCCATTATAGGGCCAGCTCGACAGCTCAGTGGACTAAGTGGCTGCTTAGCGAAAAGCAGGGACCAGGGTTCAATCCCAGGCACCACATGATGTGCCAGCCCCACCCTCGGGTGCACTGAGACAGCCACCCAGTCCAGGCTTGGTGGCGCTAGCCTGTAATCCCAGCACTGGGGAGGCTGAAAACAAGAGGATCACTACGAGTCCAATCTGCATAGTGAGACCCTTTACCAAATACATTAAAAAAAAAAAAAAAATTATACTTTGCAGTGACAAAAAGAATATTTTAAATTGCCTTAATGAATAATACTCTTAAAAGTTAATAGTAACTTTTCAAGGCATTTTCTGAGGCACTAACCTAAACATTTAAAGTAACATTTAACTTTTTTAAGCAAAATAAAGAATTGGTCATAAGTAAGGCTTAAAGTAAGACAGGTACAAAAATCTGAAAGCATTATTACGAACCAAACATTAGGGAAAAATGACTAAAATGACTGCCTAAAAATCTTTTGTTTTGGTTTTGAGACAGGGTCTTGCTATGGAATTTACACTGATCTTGAACTCATCATATAGCCCAAGCTGGCTTCCAACTCACAGTGTTCCTCCTGCCTCAGCCTCCCAGGTACAGGGAATATAAGCTTGCGCCACCATGACTGGCTTACCTAGCTAAGTCTAATGCATACTATCTTAAATAATTATAAAATATCTGTACATGGTAATTGGAAATCTGTATAATATGCTTATTTTCTTTCAATTTCTTTTAACTTTTAATTTTTAAGATTCTAAATTAAAAAAATAAATATGTTTTCTTTATATCTAATTGTTTGTGTCTATAATTAGAGATGTTTATAGTAACGTTATCTATATAACTCGGGTAGTTATTTTATCTTCCATCTCTTATCTAAGATTATAAAAATTCCAGGTACTATAATATTATTTGCTTCATACAACTTTAGAGTCCACAATTAATACTAGCCACATAAGTCAACTCTACACAAGACTCAAGAAAATGACAATTCTAATAAGAAAGTAAAAGCATTTTCTGAGTTTGTGAGGTGCTTACCAAACAAAAAGTTTTTGATGTCTCTTCAAAATCCTCTAGCCCACATTCCCAAACTGAGGCCAAAAGAAAAGACAGCCACACTGTACTAAGGTCACTGGCCCACAGAGCTGCCATGTTAGAGGGAACTTTTTTAGTCCCTCAGCTCATGTAATAACACTTCTAGATATAGAAAACCACTTGTTCTACAGAAGCCATAAACTAATACTTCTTTCTAAAGCTGACCAAGATGAAGTTTCTCGCAAAGAATGGTACAGTTTTTTGTTACTTTCAACTTGGAATTCATATATATGCAATTATAACATCCTTCTTTATCTTTGCCTTAAAAATACACTGCTTTACCAGTGTAAGTATTATCTTTTAGCACTTCAGTTTGAATACTATGTAAATAAACCCTAGTCTAAGTCTTTCTGTTCAAGTTACTACTGTACCTTGTAAAGTAGAGTGAATAGCACAATGTGTAAAGTTTTACAGTGCAAAAGTCTCATGAGACCTTTATAGCTAGGATGAAGTGATGTCCTTTTCTTATAAGGAGGCCAGGGATTTCCGGGAAACTTTCCACTCTGTTTCAAACTAAAAAATAAATAAATAAATAAAAGTTAGATAACAAACTCAAAATTAAACTGTGATTTAAACAATGATTCATAGATATCAATTTCTGTCCTATTTATCTACATAGTTGATTAAAATACTGAACTATCTAGTCACCACAAAATAAATACAATCATTTCCTTTTCTATAGGATAAACAGAGCTAAGTTACAGTAACTATTATTTTATTGTTATGAAATTGTGTTATTTTTCATGAAATTATTTTTGAAAGACCTGAACTGAAAACTAGAAATGCAAAAGTAAAATAGCTAAAAGTAGGACAAGCACAGTGGCATGTACCTGTAGACCTAGCTCTTCAGGGGGCTTGAAATGGAAGGATCTCTTGAGCACAGGACTCAAAACCAGCCATTCTAACAGTAAAATAGATGATTTGAAAACTCTCCTACCACCAATAGCTATAAAACACAAAATCTTCTGAATATATATTTGAACTCACCTAAAAAGTACAGCTTTCCACTACCAGAAAAAAAAAAGGACTTCACAATAATCTGTAACATTATTCAAGTGTTTTCAAAGTCCTTGAACAGGAACAGCACAAGTTATTGGACTCAAGGCTCAGCGAGATAGAAGTGAGATACCTCCTCCACACATACACCAAGCTGAGACCTTTGAAAGTGTTTGTCCTCACTGAAGAGGATAACTCACAAACAGAAATAAGAAATCTGCCCATCTTTTTTGGCATGGAAGAAAAACAGACTTCCCAGGAAGATAATAGTTACAAATTGATAGGCAAACAGCAGACTCAAAAAACAAAAGGCAAAACTTGACAGAATTACAAAGAGAAACTGACAAATCTATAACTGTTATAAAGGGTAGTAATATACTTCTGATAGTCCAAGAAAATAAAAACTTTAAACATTGGTGTTTCAAAGAACACTCTCAGGCTGGGGAGATGACTCAGTAGAATAGGCACTTCCCTGGCAAGCACAAAGGCCTGAGTTCAATCCCTGTTTCCAACAACAACAAAAAAGCTTCCTCTGGGGCCAGGGAGATAGCTCAGTAGAATAAGTACTTGCCTGGCAAGTACAAGAGCCTGAGTTTAATCCCCGGCTCCCCTCCCCCCACCCTACCCCACCCCAAAAAGGAAAAACATTCTCAAGAAAGTAGAAAGCCCATCCACAGAATGGGCAAAAATATTTCCTAGGGGCCAGGAAGATAGCTAAGTGGAGTAAGCGCTTGCCTGGTAAGTGCAAGGTCCTGATCCCTGATACAAAAGGAAGAGAGAAAGAGAGAGGAAAGAGAGGAGAGAGAAGAAAGGGGGGGGGGGGAGAATAAATATTTCCAAATCATGTGTCTGTTAAGTCTAATGTTCAGAATACAAAACTAGGATCTAAGACTCCATAATAAAAGTATTATTAATAACAAGCAGGCAGAATTATCTGACATCTGAGGAATGATTTTCATATGAAAGCTAGAGAACAAACAGTAGATATATTAAAGTAAAGAGGTACTATATAAGTGGGGCAGGGGGTTTTACAATTTAAAAAAACTATCACCAAATGCAATAACATATACCTGTAAACCCAGCTACACAGAGGTCTAAAGCATAAGGATCACAAGTTCAAACCTGGCCTGAGCAACTCAGCAAGATCCTGTCTCAAAAAATCTTCAAAGGTTAAAAATGTAGCTGCATGCAAAGACCCTGGGCTTAATCCCCACTACAGACAGACAGACAGACAGACAGACAGACAGACACACACACACACACACACACACACACACACACACACACACAGAGGAAGAGGAAGAGGAAGAGGAAGAGAGAGAGACAGAATATGAATGAGGATGATAGAATATATCTATTGGGAAAAAATACTATTATTAACATCACAGAAGTGAACTGCACCTAAGATTCATAAAATAAATACTATAAAATTAATTTTGCATCTTTAAAAAAGCCTGCCCCTTATGCAGTACTATAGTGATAGATATAGATACATTGTTCAAAAAAATCTCAATAGCTTATAAGGAAATATTTCAACTAGTCTGTTGCATTTGGCAAAGAAAACAGATCTTCAGTTTAGTCTCTGTTCACTCTAAGCACTAGCCTCTAAATATGCAGTACCTAGGTTAATAAAGCAATACAAAATAAGTTAATTTTGTTATATATTTGTTCAAGACAGCAAGTACTACATCATTTTGAATGCACTATTCAAAAGCATTCATGGAACCAGGCAAGTGAAATGCTACATGATAATTAAAAAAAAAAAAAAATTTACCCAGTTCCACAAAAAAAAATTTTATGTGATTCAAACCAGTATCTAATTATTGACCAGTTGCAGACAAAACTGATATATATAATCTCATATATCACATTTTCAAACATGGGCATCAATCATTAACTTCCAAGATAAGCAAGCAACAGAAATCAGTATGTTTTTAAATTTATTTTCTATTGGAATTTAAACAGGTACTATATAAAGTCACTTTTTTGTGAAAGGCCTAGTGACTCTAGTTCTAGCACGGCCATTAGCAAGTATGTTTGAGCTTTTCTAGGTCACAATTTCTTCACACCTAAAAATGTACCAATAAATAGGTAATTTTCCAATTCTTGATTTGTTTTCTTTTGTACGGTTCCTTTGTTACTGACCAATCTACTAACGGACACTTGGGAAGGAGTGCAAGAAGCAGACTGGTGTCATCCTGCCGGGCAGCCTTCTCCTGCCTTCCCCAGTCCCCTCTTCCAGGGCCATCCCATGAGACACTTATCTGGGGATATGCATTACATCTTGAAGGGCTTTTCCAGCAATAAGATCTTAAGATTCTGAACACCTAACATCACAAAAAGCAAATGGCTTATTTTTCACTCAAACTTAAAAAGAATTTACTTTTCATGCATCTAGCACTTACTGACTTTCTACAACATGCCTGGCACCGAGTTACAGATTCTGAGGATACAACCATCTAAGTTTATCCAATCATTATTTGCTATTATTTATCACAGAGACTTTCTACTGTCTTCCTGAAGATAAAAATGGATCTTAGTAAAATCAGCTAACCAACTTTCTGTCCCTTAAAACCAAAAGATGAAAATGACCAATAGCCAATAAGTCCTATAGTTTAGGGTAATCTTCCAAAATAGTAGAGGTGATTTGTTCTAATAAAAATTAGAACAAGTATACAATAAAATATAAAGGATGCAGATGCTGTATCTTATACACAAACTTTGTAAAAATTCAAGATTTACATACAAATGAACACATTTCTTCACAGATAATTAAGTACACAAAATGTTTTGGGGATTTTGGTTGTCTTTCAGTTTTGTTTTGTTTCGTTTTGGTTTGTTTTTGAGAGTCTTCTATGTATAAGTTGACAGTGGCCTTGAATTCGCAACAATATACCTGCCTCAGGTATTTGCCACCATACTGGGCCTCACAAATGTTATCACATGAAAAAAAGGTCTTTACACTGAATTTCAAAGATTAATTTACAACACAGTAAGTAAAGGATTTTAGAATAAAACTAAAAGTACATGTTATTACTGTTTTTTATATACTTTTTTTTTATTTTATTCATTTATTTATGTGTGTGTGTGTGTGTGTGTGTGTGTGGCCAGCTCAGTCCACCAGGGGGCGTGGCTGGCTGGCATGTGGTGCTGGGGGATTGAACAGTGGTCCCTGTGCTCTGCCAAGCTTGTTCTAAGTAGGTGCTTTAGACCACTGAGCCATTTCACCAGCCCCTATACTTTTTTTTTTAATTTAGCTTTTTAGACTGCCAAGAAACATAGCAATTCAGAAATACTTCTCTTTTTTTCTTTTACTGGGAATTGAACTCAGAACCTTGCACTTGCCAGGCAGGTGCTTGTGCCACTGAGCTATATATCCTTAGCACATTCAGAAACACTTCTAAGAAATTTCTTAAAATTGTACATGTACTCAAAAGCCAAGTTGAGGAAAATGAAAGAATTGGGACAAACTAGGCAGAATAGAAAAAAAACAGGGGGAAAAAATGATAAAAATAGCTCTGGGAAAAGTTTATCTGATTATATGAAGTAGCTATAAAACAAAATTTGAGATAGATATAAACAACAATACAAAGTAGATTAGGAAAACAGGATTCCTCCAAACAAGGATACCTATACCACATATATTAAACGAGATTTCTCAACATCAGTACCAGTGGCATTGGGGCAAGATAATGCTTGGTGGTGGGGCACAGACCTAGCCTCGACTGTCAGTAACAAACCTACCAGTCTTTTTTTTGTTTTGTTTTGTTTTGTTTTGTTTTGTTTTGTTTCGTTTTGTTTTTGCGGAACCAGGGATTGAACTCAGCACCTTGCGCTTGCCAGAGAAGCACTTATGCCACTGAGCCATCTCCCTGGCCCCGGCCCTACCAGTCTTAAGGCATTGTTAAGTGCCCTGGTAAAAATCATTTCAAATTAAAAACCACTGCTGTAAAAAGATAAATTAACTGTTCAGAAGTAAATGAAAAGTTTGTGGAGTGAAAAATAGGAGATAAAACCCTCTTCCTTTCAGATTACTGACATATAACAAGTGCCTAATAAATGAGTACTGTTAATAAAATTTGCCCTAGGCCAGTCAGATAGCTCAGCACACTAAAACACCTGCTTAGGCAGAACACAGCAGCCAAGGTTCAATCCCCAGCCAGATTGCCATGCTGACCCTGACCCTGAGGCATGCTGAGATGGCAATTGAGACTGGGAGTGGTGGCACATGCCTATAATCCCAGTGCTTGAGAGGTTTAAAACAGGAGAATCACCATGAGTTTGATCCATGTTGCGAGACCCTGTAGACCTTGTACTAAAATACATTAAAAAAATAAAATTTGCCCTTTACAATTGTTTAATGACTGATTCAAAGCTGTCACTGTTAGCCTATTTCCAGTCTAAACTGCTATCAGTTACAAAAACTAAAACAATATTAAGTTCACATGCACTATATATTTAAGATCCAACCAACCCCAGGCCCTCCTGTGCCCGCCGCTCCAAGCCCAGGCCCACCG